CCCGCCGTAAGACCTTCCAAGTACCACGTCTTGTGCCAAGAGGTAGTGTACCTGGGACATATAAACTTATTAAAAGTGCGCATATCGATCCAAACAAAGTCAAGAGTCTACGTAGGCGAGATGGACCAAGTGGTTAGAGCGCGAATTTACTGACCGGAAGGTCCGTGGTTCGAACCCGACCTCTGTCTCTCGACTTCCTCTGTCTAAGCGTGGGCAACCTGGCAGTATCCCAGCCCTCATGCAACCTTCAGGTGGCATGGTAGTTAGGCACCGAAAGGGTGCTACAGCTGAACGATTTTTTATTATTTTTTCTGCGTAGCCAAGACCACAGAACCCAGAGGAAGTCCACAAGTTCATGAGACTTATCTGCTATTGCAGGTCTATAATGGATTTAGCGCACACTGCGGCATCAACGTAAGGTCTGACCCATGGAGACAAGCAGCTCCGTTGGGACGAACGATGTGAGCATGCTGAAATAAAGGCTCTGTTCGCCATCGATTCAAGCATTCCCGGAAGAACAATAAAAAGCAGGTAAATTCTTATTGAATACTGACGCTGACGACAAAACCAACGGGGCTGTTTTTTCCCACGCAGAAACACAAAACTGTCTGTGGGAGTCGGACGTTAAATAAGGGTGGATGTGACTACTGTACCACATGGGAAGTGTCGTTTGCATTTGCGTATTTCCTGAAGTTCTTCGGAAGCTACCAAACAGACCACCAAGCTCTTGATCGGTTGCAAAGCGCCAGAGACGCACGCGGTCAAACGGCCAGTCGGCAAGAATCCTTTCAGCAATGCATCTTCGAAAGTACCCATTGGGCGGGCAAACAAAGCAAAGCATAAGAACTTTCGAAGGAGCCGAAATGGAATCATGAAAACCTTCTCACATGTATGATACAGCAAGTATAGGCAATGAACACTGAATCCACAGACCCCTAAGAATGGCACAACATGCAGAAAAACGACCCAGAACTGGATAATATTAGAAAGAAGCCAACCGACAGAATAGCAAGGAGATCGAGGGCACAAGCTACGAATCGCAACGCTCCTGGCCATTGTGGAGCTAACCGATAATGTTATACGATCCACCGTATACAAGGAATGAAGCTACCTACACAGTGCGACTTGTTGCACCGTGTACTGCTGCTACAAGGCGCCACATCAACACCAAGAAGTCATCAACCTGTGCAACTCATGGCAAAAACGTGGACTCCTTAAGCACCTGGAATGGAATACTGCTTCAAACAATGAAAGTCGGCTATCCAGACGAAATGCCTGGGGCTAATAGCATAAGTGAAATAGGTGATACACTGAGAACAGCGTGCAAAATCGTTCAGCTGTAGCACCCTTTCGATTTCTAACTGCCATGCTACCGAAGGAAGCACAAGGGTTGGAGTAATGCCCGGTTGCCAAAGCCTAGACAGAGAAAGTCGAGAGACAGAGGCTGGGTTCAAACCATGGACCTTCGCGTCAGTAAACTGGCGTTCTAACCACTGAGCAACCTCGCGTGCGAAATATCAGCACTGAAGACAACAACTGATGGTAAGAGTGGCACTTCACTGTCGTACGTCAGTTTTAGATAAAGCCTTACCATGGAAAGAGAAAAATGGAACAGGTGAGGGAACTTAGGGCTAGCCTATCACAAACATCCGAGGGGCCTACACCTCCAGCAAACAATCAATCCGGACAGAAACTGACAGAATCAGCGCCACTGGTACCGATTAGCCACCATAGATTTTAGTCTTTATTCAAGCAAAAAGAAAGTATCGTGGATTCCATCCTGAAAGGCGAGTAGTAACAACGGTACACAAACTTTAGGTAACATCCATCATCCCCTCATCGTTGGCATCAGCATCACCATCATCGTCAGCTGTAATAACCGCGTACTTGTCGTACAGTGGCTGTAGGTACCACAGTTTCGTTCACCAATGATTCGGGGAGGTGGGGTGGGTAGCTGCACATTGGAGGCGGGAATTGAGAAATTAGTCCGTAAGTGTTAAGTGGGGGGGCTTGAGAAGGAAGCTATCCATTGGAGGCAATAGCTAGGATGCATGAGCGCCACTGAGGGCACGACTGGGCCATATCTGACAATCTCTCTAATCATTGATGTGGCCCGTCTTGTGGTCCCCATCCAGGAAGACGGCAATAACCAGCGTCGCTGAGTTTACTGGTAACGGCCTCCATACCTCGCTGCCAAGTCACTGTTTGGCGGCCTCTGGCTCACTTTCCTGGGGCCAGTCGATCGTATCAGTTGATATAGGGCACGGCTTTCTCCCGTAGCAAAAGCCTTCTCCATCTCCCGAGCTTCCGATGTCCACCAGAGCTCTCGGTCTTTCCTTAAGCTCTTCGCTATTTGGCATTTGAGGGATTTGCGTGTGACGTCGAACTCGTTGCCTGCTGGTAGAGCTTTCCTGGCATCAGTCATGGATATCGATCTCGATGACATCCACTGGTCTTGTGGTCGAATTGGAGAAGTCGGACAGACAGCACTGAACGCCGCTAACATAGCTCCTTTCACACCTTGCCACGCTTCAACCACATGCTCACTGCCACCACATTATTGGTTTACTGTGGAGAGTTGTTGGGCTCGATCAGATCGATACTGTTGAGCTTTGGTAGTTCTTCGAAGATAGTGCATTGACATGCTCCTTGCTGACTTGCGACGGCCTGAAGAGAAGCAAACTCTCAGGCGTGCACGCACCATGGCGTGATCGGAATCAAATGGTGTGCCCCAGAAGGAACGGCAGTTTTGAATTGTGGCACTCACCCGGTGGCAGATGCCCACGTGGTTCAACTGGATCCTCGGTTGATTAGCAGTTCATGGTGGCCAGGTTACGCGATGCGAACGTTTACGTTGAAAGTTCGTACTTGCTACAAAAATTTCACTGAAGGAATCCATCTCCGTTTTCTGTGTGGTGAGCTCAGAGGACCTAACTGAAATTCAGATCGCCTGCAATGATCGCAATGTCAGTGCATATTGCTTGAAGAATGAGCCCGGGTAGCTCTCGATAGAAATCATACTTATCCGCCTCAGAACTGAAGTCCGTTGGGGCATATGCCGACACTACAAACAGGCACCGCTTTTATGCCGAGGCATTGAGCTTGACTGAAATGGATAGCCGGACAGCGCAAAGACGACTATTCACTGGGATCCAATCCAGCAAAGCGTGTTCACCTCTGGAGCTGAGTGTAACTCCTACGCCATATATTCCGACTCCGGGTCACACGGAGAGAAATGTGAAATAGCTGAGTTCATTCTTGGCGTTCTGAGATGCACAACCACCCTCGGGTCCTGTATGCGTGTTTCGGAGACACAGCATACATAAATTATGAGGGAGTATACTGTCTCAGCAAGCATGGCCTGTTTGTCAATTTGACGCAGAGTGCGGACGTTAAAACCTCCTCTATAGAAAAGATCCCGTGGATTTGGAAAGGTGTTAATCTGTTTATTGTTAATAGGCAGTGGAGTGTATAAAGAACATCGGTCAGATGACTGACAGTCAAATGACCCAGAAACGTTTGCTTGTGTGGTGGGAAGGGGTTGGGTGGACACAGAACTAGGCGGACAAATGATACTTCCCGGCTGACCAGGCCGAGGAAGAGGGTTTGGTTGACATACTCCACCTTCAGTCTTTGACTCAAGAGTCTGATCCATGAAGCAGTGGGAGGATGTAGAATTTTGTTCGGGGATACTGACCCTAGCATGATTCAGAAGTCTGACCGGCGAGGCAATGTAGTGTTTTCTTTGGAAACACTCGCCCGGAGCCCATGACTCAGTAGTCTGACTTTAGGGTGTTGGCCTACTTCGAGGGCACAGGGAATAAGGCACTACTGTATTATTCTTGATGCGGCTGCGCACAGCAAGCACATTTTGAGCAGCACCGGCTCTTTGGTTTTAAAAGTATTTCGACCGTATTCAACAATGCGCCGGCTGTCACAGTCAACCGTTGGGCGATCGGAGTGTGCGGTTTCAATGACACGACTAGCACTATAGTCTCATACACGCATCTACTAGGACCCAAGGATGCGTTTTTTGATGAAAAAGCGGTGTAAGCTGAAACACAATTCTAGCCTTCGGGGTTCGTGCGTCCATTCCGTCTGTCACAATAACGTGAGGGCTGGCGCAACTTCAAGGATACGTGGTGCTTCACAAACTTCAGTGTAATTAATGGAATTTTATGGGCATTTTCAAGCATTGTACGTTCCGCAACATGACTGCATATTCCGAGGAACTGGATGATACTGGCTATGTTTTCAGGCAATGGTGTGCTCCAAGCTCTTTTCGAAAAGAGAAGTGTCTTCTGAATATTCCAGGTCGACAAGGTTTACGCTCGTAGAGACCTAAACACCAGGGTTTCGAAGATCTTCCAGAGTTTCTTTCATTGTCTCATTAATGACGAAAATTAAACGAAATCATCATCATCATCATCAACGACAGCATGACATCAGTGTTCAATACCAATGCTTCACTGCCGTAAATTAAACGAAAGTGGGTTGGACATCTTTGTCGTACAAGGCTGCCCGAAGGAATTCCTTTGGAGAACTACGCACACTTTCACGTGTCCGCAAGCATGTGAACACAAAAAGTAAACGACATTCATGAACTCCTGGAGACATCCTGTTAGGCAAGCGTGTTGAAATTAACGAACCGAACGACGACATGTAGCCTTCTCTTACGAACACCGAATTTCGTAGGGCGCCTATATACATACTGTTTCCCTGTCTCGGCCCTTGGCAACCTTGCGGTATCTTTGTCCTCGTCTGTTCTTCAGATTTCATGGCGCCTAGGCACTGAAAGCGTGTTACAGCTGAATGATTATTATTACTAACATTTGGTGGGGGGGTGAATACTTGGTCCACAGTCGCTTGCTGACCAGAATCCTGCTTGCTGTCCTCGGGTCGTCTTCAAGAGTCCCCGCGCGGCACAAATGAGCGGTGCGGGAAGTCGGGAGGCAGAGGTCAGGTTCGAACACGGACCTTCGGGTCGCCGATTCACGGATTGGTATACAGGATCGGGGCTTTTTCTCAAGTTTGCCGGGTCGGTTTCGTTCTCGTCGTTCAGCGGTTGTCGTTAACCTGAAAGGCACAGGTGGAAAAAGGGTGTGACAATACCGTTTATGTCCACAGAGCGGGGCAGTATGCTTTCCGGCGAGAAGATTCGTATAAATAACTGCCTAATAGTGCTTTAAAGTGGGTTTTAGGAGCGCGCACAACCGCCGGAGGAAGATTATTCCACGCAGCTACTACCCGAAATGAGAAATTTTGCCTAATGAATGTGTGCGCTCAGAGCTTGAAATTTTTCTTACCACGTCCCTGCCGTGTGTTTGTTGGGTCGATGGTGGAAAACCTGTTGGCCAAGCTTTGTTCAAACACGGCATAAGTAAGAATTAGGTCGCCTCGGGGGCAACGATACTCCAGGGGAAAGAAGTCAAGCACCGCGAGCGTTTCGTAGTCCACGGACTTGAGGCCGGCAACCAGTTTCGTAGCGGTTCACTGGACACGCTCAATGAGGGTGACGTTTTTCGTGCGTCCTGAGTAGACAACTTGGTTGGCACTTTCAAAGAACGGTCTGACGTAGGTCCCATAGTATTTGGAAGCCCATGCGAGTAATGCGGAGGAAGGTGCGCCGAATAAGCCGTTAAATTGTAAATGCCTTTTGGGCCGATTTCCCATGGTTCAGTGGGAAGGACAAGTTTGAGGAGAGCCAGATGCCCAAACTCGCACTCCAGCTAAGTAGCCAGCTAGCCCCGTTTGTGTAGGAAAATGTCGTAGACAATCCGCGTAGTCTGTATGATGATGATAATGCTATTACCACAACCTCGTAGACAATTTCCTGTTAGTTCGTCACATGGAAATCGGACCTGCACGATAAATACCTCATTTTCGGCTCTATAGTCGCCGAATGGCGCGGTAGGTATCACTAATTCGTGTCAACAACACTGTCATCACATGCATGTGGAGACCGTGTAAGTCGCCGGGAGTCATTTAAAAAACGTTACACCTTACACAGAAGCAGAGAGCGACTAGAACAAACACTTAAAAACGATGTCGCAGAGCATATAAACCAAATTAACGTTCTATTCATTATTAAAATCCTACGGAGCCCTTCATGAACTCCTCGCAGGTAAAAAAAAATGACGAGCCAAAAAGCTGTGGTAATAGTGATATTCCACGCTCTGGCAGCATCAGGGGACAGTGTTCATCTGATGGTAAGTATCCACAACAATTTTTGTAGATAGCCCGTGAATCGGGCCCAATAGACAAGGCTGCACATCATCAATACTTACACATAAATTAACCAAAATATCAGGCATTTTACACTGACTGTAGTATGCACGCTTTGGAAGCACCAGGGGACAGTGATTCTCCGAAGGCAGGTGTTCACGACAATTTCTGTGGATGGAAAACAGAAACAAAGCGCATGAGCCAAGGCCCAGTAAGTAAGGTTGTACATCGCCAATACTTACATATGAATAAGTCAAAATGACAGACCCCGTATAGTACACTGACGAACGCCTTCGCAATGAGGCGAGAACGACCGAGATGGAATTGCCTGCTCCCTATTGGCCCACACTCTGACCAATCAACACACAGATCCTTCAGTCATTTGATCGAACCTCGACCAACAGAAGCACTTTTGTCCAGAACCGTTGTGTCGAATGAAAGCTTTCGCGACAAAATGCTGTATTACGTGTGCACAAACAAAAACACATCGTTTGCGGTAATTTTGCTGGAATTCGTTTAAATTACACTCCTTACTTGATTTTTAGTGAGCACGACCCGGGAAACTTGGGCAAAAGCCTCGATCCTGTGTATCAATCCGTGAATCCAAATCTACAACTGCAGCGCTTCTGCTACCGCTTCTAATATCCTAGCTGAGAACTTGGAGGTTGTCCGGTCTACGCTTTCGACGCCTTCCATAAGACCTTTAGTGAAAAAAATAAGGGAAAATTTTGATAATTATACGTGCAGGTGCATGTTCTCCAGTATTACTCGCATGGAGTCCCAAATATTCCGCCAGTCCAATTATTGAATATGCCAACCGAGTTGACTGAAGCAGGACGTAACCCTCATCGAGCGCGTCCAACGAGATGCTAGGAAAATGGCTGCCAACCATTAATCCGTGGCTATGAAACACGTCTCGCGGTGCTAACCATTTTCCGTAGGAGTATCGTCGCCTCCAAGGAAACCCGCGTGGAATGGCCTTCTTCCGAAGGTCGTCTATGTTCCATCAAATACATACTTCAAAGTGCCATTAGGCGATTTTTCAGCGAGTCTTCGCGCTGGGAAGTTTGGTGACCTGCGATGAGAATCTAAAAAGCAATGATAAACTCTGATGAACATGATCGATACTTTATCCATTGCTCTATTCAGTATTCTCTTGTTTTCCAAGCGCTACATACACAATCATCCGAATAGGTATAT